CCTCTCAGTATGTCCTAGCCCCAGTTTCTTCTTCTAATTTCTCTTTCTTTCAGTTGTCAAATACTGTGGATTTATTATGTACTAGGCATGAAAGGTAATCTTCCCCATTCATCTTCCTTATACTTTCTAATTCCCTAACTGAATCGTGTAGCTTGCTTATGTTAATTTTTTAATTTCAGCATATTATGGGGGTACAAATGTTTAGGTTACATATGTTGCCTTGCCTTCCCTGCCCCCAAGCTTATGTGAATTTTTAACTGAAAAGAAAAATTAAAAACTGCTTCTGTATCAGCCAGTTTTCTGATCTCTCTTGATTCTAGGTCTCATGGCCTCTTTTGTGAGCTGGAGAGGACATGTGACCAGGACACATAGAAATTGCCCATGATGTGTTTCTGAGGCTAAAGGTTTGAGCAAAAGGGCAAATATTTGTAGAGATCATATCCCTTACTAATGATCAGGGAAAGAAGCCATCTCCTCATGGGACAGGGAACAGGGCAGAATGTCTACACCTACCAGAGCAGTCTCACTTCTAACTGCAATGTGTGAATTTTGGATCCAATAATTATGTGGAAGAGAAGCAGAGGAAGTCTTTGGTGATCTGGAATGGGGAGACCAAGAACAGTTAAGTCCCATTCCCATTTGTTGGACCCAACTTGAACAGAAACTAAAGGTTAATGAGTGAGATGTTCTCTAATTGATCCCTTTCAGACCATGACATAAGGAAAACAGTTTGAGTGTTGTCTTCCATTCTAGCATAGTCTGGTCCACCTAGGTATCACCTAAGACCCAGGATGACCTGCTTTTTTACTGCCTCCTGCCGTACCTTATGGAACCCAGATAAAGATCCTTGGTGTCTTGTACCTACGTGATTGTCAGTAAAAATTAAAATAGTAAAGAAAAGAGAATATATTTTTTTAAAAAAGGATCTTTGGTGTCTTTTTCCTATCCTCTAGGGATCCAGCCACCCTCTGTAGAAACTCGGTTATGACAGACCCTGCTCCCAAAGGCCTTGCCTTGCCTCACCCACTTGGTCCCTCTGCCAGGGATCCTGACGGACCTGGCCCTGAGGATTGCTCTGGAGCAGGCTGGCCACCAGCCTGATTCCTGAATCCTACAACTACGTCTCTAGGCTGGGAGATGTGAGAGCATGCAGGCTCTTTTTTTTTTTTTTTTTTTTTTTTTTTACCAGATACGAGGTGCCATAAGGACTGCAGCATAGGTAGGGGCTTCCCAGGGAATGCCTTGATCTCTGTTCTGTAGCTTCTAGGCAGGGTTCAGCCTGATCCAGGGAGAGCAAGTGTGCCTTCTCTACTGTAGACTGTGAGCAGGAGTAGGAGCAGGAGCAGTATCTCTACAATGTGGTCCAGATGTCACCAGGAGTGGGAATCTGCTGAAGCTCAGGCACAGCTTTGTACTCGACTGCTCAGAACTACACAAGGAACGAGGCAAAGGATAGGGTCAAAGACCTTGACTATGACCTTCTGATGATCATGCTCAGGCTGTCAGGGGTGCCCTTGGGTTCCTGGTGAGCTCTGTGCTTAAACCTGCAGTAAAGGCTGGAGTTCAGCAGCTAGTCCAGTGTTACTATAAGAAAAAGGCAAACACCCCTCTGCCAGACATCAGGGATGAAGGCTCGGGGGGCACCACAGATGTGAGTCACTAAGGGATGACAAACAAGAACCATGGCCTTGGAGGACAAGGCTTCAGAAGAAGTGAACTGAGCAGCTCCCGCCTCACTGTGGGTCTTATTCAAGGGCCACGGCTTAAATACTGCTCCTGAGAGTCTTGTGCTTTATATAAAAGGGTTAGGCACTGTTCTGTCGAAGGGCCATATATGCAGGGTGACCCCTAAATGCTGAAGAAGCTGAGAAACCAAGAATGAAGCAGATAAATCTAGTTTGTCAGTATAGGATGATTTATTAGAGGGACTTATGGACAGAAGCATGGTCTTGAGTGGCTGTAAGACAAGTAGATCTCCACACCCTAAACCCCCAGAACCAGGGCTTAATATCTGGAGGAAAAAGTTTACATGCTCTGGAAGAAACATGTAGGTGGCTGAGAGAATGTTGCTGGCGTCACAGTGTAACAGCATCAAGGGTTGTTTTGGTGTAAAGATGAACCTTATAGTGAATAGGTTTTTCTACATAAAGAGTCATATATTAGCCCGGCGCGGTGGCTCATGCCCGTAATCCTAGCACTCTGGGAGGCCGAGGTGGGTGGATTGCTTGAGGTGAGGAGTTCAAAACCAGCCTGAGCAAGAGCGAGACTATAAATAGAAAGAAATTAATTGGCCAACTAATATATATATATATATACAAAAATATTAGCTGGGCATGGTGGCGCATGCCTGTAGTCCCAGCCACTTGGGAGGCTGAGGTAGTAGGATTGCTTGAGCCCAGGAGTTTGAAGTTGCTGTGAACTAGGCTGACGCCACGGCACTCACTCCAGCCTGGGCAACAAAGCAAGACTCTGTCTCAAAAAAAAAAAAAAAAAGGTAATATATCAACTAGACATTTTGCAGGCTTTCCTGGACTTGGGGTTAGTCAGATGGATTGGCATTTAAAAATAAAGGCACTCTGTAATCCTATCACTCTGGGAGGCCAAGGTGGGAGGATCACTTGAGGTCAGGAGTTTGAGACCAGCCTCAGCAAGAATGAGACACCGTCTATACTAAAAATAGAAAAAATTAGCCAGGCGTGGTGGTGTGCACCTATAGTCCCAGCTACTTGGGAGGCTGAGGCAGGAGGATTGCTTGAGCCCAGAGGTTTGAGGTTGCTGTGAGCTAGGCTGATGCCACGGTACTCTAGCCCAGGCAGCAGAGCAAGACTCTATCTCAAAAAATAAAATAAAAAAAATCCACATATAATTTTTGAGCACCCAAAAACTTAACTACTAATAGCCTACTGTTGATCAAATGACTTACCAATAATGTAAACGATCAATTAAAATATATTTTGTATATTATATGTATTAAGTACTGTATTTTTACAATAAAGTAAGAGAATAGAAAATAATAAGAAAATATATTTACTATTCATTAGGTAGAAGTGGATCATCATAAAGGTCTGTATCCTAATTCTCTTTGCATTAAGGAGGCTGAGAAGGAGGAAGAACAGGAGGGGTTGGTCTTGCTGTCTCATGGGTAGATGAAACAGAAGAAAATCTATATATAAGTGGACCCACACAGTTCAAACCTGTGTTGTTCAAGTTTCAACTGTATTTGGATATACGGCCTTTATGGAGATAATGAAGGTTAAATGAGGTCATCAGGATGGAACCAATAGGACTCTTGTCCTTATAAGAAGAGGAAGAGACACCAGGAGTGTTTGGGTATGGAGGATAGACCATGTGAGAATGCAATAAGAAACTTGCAATATGAGGAGAGAGGCCTCAGGAGCAACCACACCTGCTGACTGACATCTTTTTTTTTTTTTTTGAGATAGAGTCTCACTCTGTTGCCCACAGGCTAGAGTGCCGTGGAGTCAGCCTAACTTACAGCAACCACAAACTCCTGGACTCAAGCAATCCTTCTGCCTGAGCCTTCCAAGTAGCTGGGACTACAGGTATGTGCCACCATGCCCGGCTAATTTTTTTGATATATTTTTAGTTGGCCAATTAATTTGTTACTATTTTTAGTAGACATGGGGTCTCGCTCTTGCTCAGCTGGTTTTGAACTCCTGACATAGAGTGATCCTCCCGCCTCGGCCTCCCAGAGTGCTAGGATTACAGGCGTGAGCCACTGTGCCCAGCCTGCTGACTGACACCTTGATGTTGTACTTCCAACCTCCAAAACTGTGAGAAACAAATTTGGTTTTTTTTGGTTTTTTTTTTTGAGACAGAGTCTCACTTTGTTGCCCAGGCTAGAGTGAGTGCCATGGCGTCAGCCTTGCTCACAGCAACCTCAAACTCCTGGGCTCAAGCAATCGTGCTGCCTCAGCCTTCCAAGTAGCGGGGACTACAGGCATGCGCCACCATGCCCGGCTAATTTTTTCTATATATATCAGTTGGCCAATTAATTTCTTTCTATTTATGTTAGAGACTGGGTCTCACTCTTGCTCAGGCTGGTTTCGAACTCCTGACCTGGAGCAATCCGCCTGCCTCAGCCTCCTAGAGTGCTAGGATTACAGGCATGAGCCACCACGCCCAGCCAACATTTGTGCTGTTTAGGCCATCACCCAGTCTGTCTTTTTGTTATGGCAGCCCTAGCAGACTAATACAGTAGGTATGGGTTTTTATTCATCTATTTTCTGGTACCCTATGAGCTCCACTCAATCTGAAAACTTATTTTTCTTCTTCATCTAAAAAAACCCCTCACACTTTAAAAAAATAATTTTCTCACTTTTTTTTTTTAATTTGGGGGTTTTTTTGTTGGGTTTTGTTTTTTATTTTTTATTTTTTTGAGGCAGAGTCTCACTTTGTTGCCCAGGCTAGAGTGAGTGCCATGGCGTCAGCCTCGCTCACAGCAACCTCCAACCTCAAACTCCTGGTCTCAAGCAATCCTACCGTGTCAGCCTCCTTAGTAGCTGGGACCTCAGGCATGCGCCACCATGCCCGGCTAATTTTTTCTATATATATTAGTTGGCCAATTAATTTCTTTCTATTTATAGTAGGGATAGTGTCTTGCTCTTGCTCAGGCTGGCTTCGAACTCCTGACCTTGAGCAATCCTCCCACCTCGGCCTCTCAGAGTGCTAGGATTACAGCTGTGAGCCACTGCGCCCAGCCTGGTTTTGTTTTTTAGACAAAGTCTTGCTCTGTTGCCCTGGCTAGAGTGCAATCACATGATCATAGCTCACTGCAACTTCACACTCCTGGGCTCAAGCAATCTTCCTGCCTCAGCTTCTTGAGTAACTGGAACTACAGGCATATGCCACCACATCATGCCCAGCTGATTTTTCTATTTTTTGTAGAGAAAGAGTCTCACTTTTGCCTAGGTTGACCACAGCTATTCTTAAATGCTTTATGTGGAAAATGATTCAGGAATTTATCCAAGTTTACTTAAGATATTCAATGCCACATAGGTCTCCATTTCCAGGACTGTGGTCAAGAATAGGACACAGTAAGTAGTTAGAAATGTTGGAAACTACTTAGCACAGATGTGTGCTCTTTATTTCATCCTCGTGCTTAAATACTCATGTGACTGATGTTAGTCTTGCCCCTCTCCACTTAGTAGCTCCCAGCCCCTATTTCTTATCAAATATTGTGCATTTAATATGTACTAGGGATCTAGGCATGGTGGCGCATGCCTATATTCCCAGCACTTTGGGAAACTGAGGCAGGAGGATCACTTGAGGCCAGGAGTTTGAGGGTGGAATGAGCTATGACTGTACCACTGCAAATGAGCCTGGGTGACAGAGCTTAGAGCGGGAATGTGGGAAAGTGGCAGAAACATATAGGACATACCAAAGAACAGGATCTTAGGTATTCAGGTTGAATTTGCGACAAGGGGACAAAGTTTCGGCAGCCAGTACAAAATGGGCAAATATTTGCAGAGATGACATCTCTTACTGATCACAGGGGAAAGCAAATATCTCCTTTCCTCATAGGACAGAGAACTAGGCAGAACGGTATTGGGGAACAACCAAATCTACCAAGGCAGTCTCACTTTTCAGTGACTGGACTCTGTGGCAATTTGGGTAAGTGGGTGGGAAAAAATGGAGGAAGTTCCAGGTGACTTGTAAATGGGAGAGACCAAGTGAGAGCAATTGGGTTGCATTTCCTATTTCCTAGGCCTTTACCTAACTAAACAAAACAGAAGCTTGGAAATAGGTGATGTATGAGGTATCCCCTGAAAGGAGTCTTGAGATCCCTTCAGACCATTGCTCTTAGAGAAATTGTTTGTATTTTCTGGGTTTCTCCCCTTTCTAGGGTACTCTGCTCCATACTCTGCTCCAAACATGTGTGGCATTGGACTCATCATGATACCAGTTGAGCTGCTTCTTTGCTGCCTCCTGCTACACCCTGTGGATGCTATTTCATCTAGAAAGCAGAAAAATGTCTTGATGCACCTTCCCTTGTCCTTGGGATCCCAGACACCCTCCTTAGACCCCTTGTACTGCCAGATCATGCTCCCAAAGTCCTTGCCTGGCTTCACCCACATGGCCCCTCTACCCAAGTTCCTGGTGGGCCTGGCTCTAAGGAACGCCTTGGAGGAAGCTGGCTGCCAGGCTGATGTCTGGGCCCTGCAGCTTCAGCTCTACCACTGGGGTGGCGTGAACGCTACACGGGTCCTCATCCACCATCTTCAAAGGCTCCAGAAAAGCAGAAGCACAGGGAGAGGAGTGTCAGTGAAAGCCCTGGTCGCTGCTCTGCAGCTGTTAGCCAGTCAGCAGTCAGGCTCACACAGGGCCCGACGCTCCTTCCCCACCAATAACTGTGAGAATGAGCAAGAACAAGGTGTGCACAATATCCTCCAGCTATTGCCAGGAGTGGGAACTTACTACAACCTGGGCACAGCTTTGTATTATGCTGCTCAGAACTGCTCAGACAAGGCCAAGGAACGAAGCCGAGATGGGGCCGTAGATCTGGCATATGACCTTCTGATAGGCATGAGCGGGCTGTCAGGGGGGCCGGCAGGTCTACTGATCAGTGCTGCACTTAAACCTGCATTAAAGGCTGGGGTTCAGCAGTTGATCCAATATTATCATGATGAGAAAGAGGCAAACATCCATCAGCCAGAGACCAGCACGGAGGGCTTGGTGGGCACCTCAGATACGAGTGACTTGGAAGAAACGAGTACAATGACTCCTTTGGTATCAGAAGTAGTCAGTTCAGCTCCCTACTGGGGGTGGGCCTTATTCAAGAGCTATCACTTAGCTCCTGGGGCTGGGAGTCTTGGAATATAAAAGGTGGTAACCAAAAAAAAAAAAAAAAAAAAAGAATAAATCTAATATTTTGACAAGCTGTATGTGTGTGTTCAAAATCTAAATCTCTGATTTGTTATCCAGGAGGAAGCAGTACTGTCAAATGTAGAAATGTAAAAGTTTGGGGTTTGGAGTCAGAGGGTTTGGTTTTGAATCCAGGCTCCATTTGTTAGTGCCTGGGTGATCACTGACTAGTGACTTCTTTCTAAAAGGGAGGTCAGTTTTTAAATTTCTAAAGGGAAGATAATGCCTCTCATCTGAATGGGTAGTTGTGGAAATTAGGGATGACACAATGAAGGTAAAAGTACTTATCACGGCATCCTCAATAAACAGTTACGGTTTTTTTCACCTCAACCCTCCCCTTTCTATCCCAGAGCGTCGAAATTCCGGTCCCACCCCTTCCTACGCATTCCTTAGTTCCTCTGGGGCTCTCAAGCTAGTTTCGGTTCTGCCACCATAGGGCAAGTTCTCGAAAATCAGCTGTTTCAGTCAGGGGGTAGTCCACTAATTGGACACCGCCTCCCCTTAGATATGGGGCGGGGTTTACTTGAGCTTCTCCACCAATCCCTGGAGCTGGAGGTGTGGTTTTGACCAGCTAGTTCCGCCCCGCGGGGAGGGCGGAGTTGTGGCGGGACCAATGAGCTCACAGTCTGAGGAAGGACTTTGGCGGAGTACCAGCCAATGTCAGGGTGCCGACTGGGAATGGGGAGCTCGGGGCTTCAGCGGCCGACTCAAGCCCTCTACAAAGGGGCGAGTCCGAAGGGCGTGTCGAAGTTGTGGGCGGGGCGGGAGGCTCTGTTTCTCTGGGGACCGGAAGTCGCGACCAAAGCCACTGGAGGGCGCGGGGACTGAGACCCTAACCAGGTATGGTCCCTGAGAGCGTGTGCGCCGGGGTAGGGGTCGGGTAAGAGTGAGAGTCCTCCCTTGGGAAGGGATGCTGGTCGTAGGGGGTACGCCCTGGACCGCCCAGCTTCTGTCCCCAGGTTGAAATAGGAGCTGTCGTCCGCTGCGTCCTGCCCAGCCTAGCTCCCCAACCCTAATGTCGTCCTCCCCAAAGTCCTCTGTGGGTTCCAACACCAGGGACCAGAGTTGCATTGTTACATTGGTTCGGTGTCTTAACCAATGCTTTTGCTTCTGCTTTGCATTATTTTTGATCTTCACCAGAAAACAATGTCCAAAAATAGATACGATTTATCATCTTTATTCGTTATGTAAAAAAGTATAAGACACTGAAAGGTGAAATTATTTGCCTAAGGTCACACACAAAATCCAGTTCATTTCAGAAAAGGTTATTGAATGCAAAATATGTGCCTTAAGAGAGTGAGAGATAACTGGAGAAAAAAAGTTTGAATGTATACAGCCCCTTAACCTCGATGTTTGCAATCTATTTGGAGAGACATGTTTCAGGGTTTTGGGGTTTTGTTTTTATTTTTTATTTTTTGCATTAATATATCAACACAGAGGTTTTGGGTTTTTGTTTGTTTTAATATTTAAATCTCAGGGCTTACTTGCTGCCTTGCTTCTTTAATACCAGCCACTTAGTTCCTCAAGAAATGACCTCATCATTTAAAAAATTTTTTTGTTTCTTAAAAGCAGTGCAGATACATAGTTTAAAAAGTCAAGCACTACTAAAAGGGTTAAAATGAAAAATAGGAGCCCCTGCCCAATCCCTCTCCTCCCCAGTTTCTAGAAGGGCAGCTTTATTTATTCCAGTGGAAAAGACTTTCCCACCCCAAACATTTTTCTTTGTTTTGTGATAAAATCATGTGACCTTTTTAGACCACAGACGTGCATGTTTGTTAGACTCAGCCTGCAACACAGTAAGTTTCCATTTCCTAAACAGACATCAGATGGCAGTGAAGAGAAAGGTGGAGAGAAAGATGCATGGTACAGCCTGCTTCGTGACAGGCATAAACCAGTTTTAAGTGAAAATTTTGGGTCTCGCAAAGTTAATCCATATGAAGAATCAGAGATTGACAGGTCATAAAAGTGTTACAGTTTTGCACAGCATTTAGACATCTTCTAGAAGAGAATTCCTACTTCCTACATAGAGGGCAGTTTATTTTTGTATTTTTTTTTAAGGCGGGTCAAGTTGAGAGGGCAGTTTAAAGAGTGTACTTAACTTATCTCCAAGAAGATTTTAGCTCCTAAAAAACTTCAGGGATACTAGAGATCATCCTGTAATAAATACTTAAGACTGTGGGACACTGTGGTTCACACCTGTAATCTTAACACTTGTGGAGGCTCCTGGCTACTTAAGGCCAGGAGTTTAAGACCAGCCAGGGCAACATCATGAGAACCTGTCTCTACAAAAAAGATTTTAAAAATTAGCCAGGTGTGGGACTCCAGTCCCAGCTACTCAGGAGGCTGAAGTGGGAGAATCATATGAGCCCAAGTGTTGGAGGTTGCAGTCAGCTATGATCATTCCACTACATTCCAGCCTGAATAAGAGCAAGACCCTATCTCTAAGATAACTAACTAAATAAATACTTGAGATTGACCCCGATCTTTAAATACTTTAGCATAAATAAACACAAACAAATTAAAAATAAATAATTAATTGAGAGACATAGATGAAATAGGACCATAGAAATATTATTGTTTGTTGAAGCTGGATGATAGGTACCTGGAAGATCTTTGTACTATTCACTGTACTTTGGTGTATGTTTGAAAATTACCATTAAAACAACAAGGCACATGTATTGGAACTATTAAATACAGATTGAGGATCCTTAATCCAAAAGTCCAAAATGCTCCAATATGCATTTCCTCTGAGTATCATGTCATTGCTCAAACAGTTTCAGATTTTAAAGCATTTTAGGCCGGGCACCGTGGCTCACGCCTGTAATCCTAGCACTCTGGGAGGCCGAGACAGGCGGATCGCTTGAGGACAGGAGTTCAAAACCAGCCTGAGCAAGAGCGAGACCCCGTCTCTACTATAAATAGAAAGAAATTAATTGACCAACTAAAAATATAATTACAAAAATTAGCCGGGCATGGTGGCACATGCCTGTAGTCCCAGCTACTCTGGAGGCTGAGGCAGTAGGATTGCTTGAGCCCAGGAGATTGAGGTTGCTGTGAGCTAGGACGCCATGGCACTCACTCTAGCCTGGACAACAAAGTAAGACTCTGTCTCAAAAAAAAAAAAAAAGATTTTAAAGCATTTTAGATTTTGGATTTTTGGATTAGGGTTGTTCAGCTGGTAAGTATATAATGCAAGTACTCAAAAAAAAAAATCTGAACTCCAAAATGCTTCTGGTCCCAAGCATTATGGATAAGGGGTACTCAACCCATAGCACTCTTGGAAGAATATGCACCAAACTGATAACAGTGGTTACTTCTGGAGAATAGAGAGAGGCTCCCAACCAATCTTGGGAGTAGGGCCAATATTTTCTGAATTTTTTTTTTTTACTTTTATAACTTAAACATTTTAAATTAGTAATAATAAATAATCGTGAGACTGTGGACAATTTAGTCCAGCACAATATCTAATTGGGAACCTGCATCCTTCTGATTCAGAGCCCAAATGGCGCAGTGGGAGATGCTGCAGAATCTTGACAGCCCATTTCAGGATCAGCTACACCAGCTCTACTCACATAGCCTCCTGCCAATGGACATTCGACAGTACTTGGCTGTCTGGATTGAAGACCAGAACTGGTGAGGCCTTCAGGAAGTTGGGGGTGGTGACGAAGTTGATTCCTTTCTTCTTAGTCCCCAGGATTCTGGAAGTATCATAGGCAGAGGGTAGTTGGAAGGCCTCTGTACAGCAGCAGAAACACTAATCCTTTTTATTACTGCTCCCCAGGCAGGAAGCTGCACTGGGCGGTGATAATTCCAAGGCTAACATGCTACTCTTCCACTTCTTGGACCAACTGCACTATGAGTGTAGCCGCTGCAGCCAGGACCGTGAGCACTTGTTGCTATATCACAACTTGCGAAAGTTCTACCGGGACATTCAGGTACCTGCAGGAATTGGGAATACAAGGTAGGGCTGGGAGCTGAGTGCAGAGGAGTAAGGTGTGGGGTATGGAATAGCACCTCGAGGTGCAATGGGTGAGAGAGAAACAGATCTCGGGAAATGGGGACAGAGTCTGGATTTGGCAGATCGCTGGCAGAGAGAAGGGTAGGGTCTGCATGACACTGCTGGGAGGGTGCCAGGGTTTGGGGGTCCAATGATGAAAGGGAAAAGGCTATTAGGGACCCTTAAGGAAGGGGAAGTATTGGGGATATTGGTGTGGATAGTCTAGGGTAGTAGGCATTGGGGATAGTTGAATTGGATCAATTCATCTTTCCTCTTTTCCTACTCTAGGCATTTTCCCAGGGCCCTACTCAATTGGCTGAGATGATGTTTAATCTCCTTCTGGATGAAAAAAGAATTCTGATTCAGGCTCAGAGGGCTCAACTGGTGAGAACAATTTGGTGGTGACATTGGAAGCTCCTGGAGTAGAGAGGAACCATGGAAAGGACTCAGGGAATTTGTCTCATAACAGGATCCTCCCACATCTTGTGGTATAATTTCAGGCATGGATTTAGTAGCAGTCCCCAACCTTTTTTGTCACCAGGGACCGTTGTCATGGAAGAAAAATTTTCCATGGATGGGGCCAGTAGGGTATGGTTTCAGGATGATTCAAGTGCATTATATATATTGTGAATTTTATTTCTATTATTACATTGTAATAAATAATGAAATAATTATACAACTCACCATAGGTTGGGACTCCTGATTAATTGATGAATGGTCAGAGTTGAAATGTGCTCAGAGGCTCTTATTTCAGGAACAAAGCAACCCAGTTCTTGAAGCACCCATGCAAAGCCAGCAGCATGAGATTGAATCCCGGATCCTGGATTTAAGTGCTATGATGGAGGTTGGTAGATGTGGCAAGAGTTAGGGTGGGCAGGGCCTAGCCTACCTGCTCCCTCAGAAGCAGCCTCATCAGTGTCCCATCCCCTCTGCAGAAGCTGGTGAAATCCATCAGCCAACTGAAAGACCAGCAGGATGTCTTCTGCTTCCGATGTAACACTCAGATCAAAGGTA